TTTGCCTGTTCTAGGGATGGAAAAGACAGATAGAGGAAAGAGACAGCACTATGGCCCATCTGTGCAAACCAAAAATGCTGCTACTAGGTCAGAACGAGTTTTACAACTGCCCCTGATAATTAAATCTATGGCCTCTATAAAGCTTCTTAATGAGAGTGCTTACTGGCTTGGCCTTATATCACTGGTAACAATTAATTTGCATTTTAGAATGTTTCTATTTATCCTCTGTTTGTAATTTTAATATTTGTCTTTACAGAGTGAGGTGGAAAAGTCTGGTTTGTTTGCTCAGGATTTACTTCTCCAATTTTGACTACCCRGATGGAATACCAACACTTCAAATGAGAGTATTCGTGAATATTTCCTAATGGAGGAAAAATGTTTTCCTCAGCACAATTTAAAATAATATCTGAGTATGTACCCCCCACCTTGAGAAACGTGCCGGATTTTTGATAGCCTTGTTCTGAAAATCTTATCCTTAGGTATTCCTACCGCGAAGAAAAATCTTTGTTTCAGGACTTTTTTTGCACAGGGTGTGCTGATTTTGTGTTCCTGACCTAATAGCAAAATACCAGGTAGAAACAAGGGAGGAGCACCTTCATTTAAACCAGTCCATGAAAGAACTTTTATGTGACAAAGTTCAAAAGCCAGTCCTTAGAATTCTACTTTCCTTATAAACCACAAAACTATCAAGATACCAGATGAGGATGTTTGCTTAGACATTTGTAGAAGTGAGAATGCGTCTGGCTGTTTGGAGCATTATTTCTGCATCATGCTCTCTTTTGTGCCATGGAACCTGCTGCGAAACCTGCTTTCTGGGTAACAGCTCATATGGAAAGATCAAGGGTGCACTGCGTTGCTGGCATGGCTGCAGGATAAACAGTTCTTAACCAGACTATCACACACTGCTATAGTTTCTGAACAATAAGTTAGGAAGTTAAAGACACTGTTTTTTGCCCTCATTTAAAAATAAAATGCTTCCTAGGAGAACTGTGCCTGAGGAGAAAAGATGCAGGGCTTGAAATCTACACCTGAATCTGGAAACAATTTTTGCTATTAGGAATATGTTCCCTAATCTGCACTAACCAAATGCCACCAAATATTTTGGAAAGATCAATCCACAGTCAAGAGAAAATCTGGATTAGAGTTTCACAGAGTCCTTTTTTTGACAAGACTTCGCATTGAGATAAGTTTAAGCTACAGCTAAAAATGGGAACTTCATTTTACATGCTAGGCAGTGAAGTCTCCTTGTTGGAGGGACTACAGCTTACAGAGTGCCTATCCTGTTTCATACTGTSTAAAATAAATTAACCTCTGTGTTCAGTTTATATTCTGGGTTAAGGATCAATTTTACAGGCAGGGACAACAAAGCAGAGAAGCTATGGATGTTACTTGCATTAGAATATAGTGCAAAGAAAAAGAAATAGAAAAAATAATAGAAAATGCCAGATCTGCCGGGGATTGATTTATAAATTTGTCTATCATCTGCAATAGACTTGGATAATGATATCTAAATAATTCCTGATTAACTTCTACATCACTTTATTGGTTCCATGCCTGTAGATACTCTTGGATGTAAGTGTTACCCATGACTTCTAAGAAGGGCTGTATTCAAGCCTGAAACAGGTTCAAAAGGCCACTTCTTTGTACACATCTTTGTTCAGAAATGCTAAGCTGCTCTAAGTCTGTATTTTTAGACACATTTCCTCCATGCTTTGCACAAAGTTTTACCATAATTCCATTCCCACTGAAGAACATAATAGTGAGATAAATGCGCCAGATTTCTYCCAGTAAACCCAGACCTGCCTTTCTCTGTTACCCACGGACTTGCGATGCAGGCATTTGACTGTGAATTATGGGGAAGACGCATCTCTCGACGATAAGGTTAGGTGATAAATGTCCGAAGCCAGCATGGGACACTGCAGAGGAAGTGTCATAAATTTACTGCTGAATCAGCTTTAAGGAGGAGAGCTGGGGCTAAAGAATCACAGCTGTCATTTGGCTGTGGGAAACGGTTCAGGGATCATTAGTATTGGTCATTCCCATGAACTTGAGGTTCACAGAGGGAAATGCTGGGAGGTGACACCGCAATCTGGGCAGATCTCAAATCCCGAAGATTAAAGATTGCCTGTTGTTAATAAACAGGTTACATTCCACATTCGAAACCAAATGTCCTTCCCAGTTCTAAGTTTGGCTTTGCTTTACAAATAGCAAGTTTAAAAGGTAATTGATAAAAAAGTGGGGAAAGAAAGGGCTAGTTGTCAGAGCTTTCACCTTAAACTCAGGTCAATACCCTGCCGGCTTGTGTGTAACAATGCCTGGAATTTGGAATATACTTCAGCAGAGTCAGGCTTTCAGTATTTCACATTCCATATGAGAGTGCTTTTGGGTCACAGGACTTTTAGAAGAAATATCTTTTCCCAGTCATCCTCCTCCCCCTTCTCTTCCAAATGGTATTGTAGAAAGTTGGAGAAACACAGATATTAACTAGTGAGAAGGCAGCGAAAGGAAAATGGTACATAACAGGCGTCTAACTCAGATTGTTGTTAACTTGAAATGATAGATATCKCTGGTATCTTTGACCGTATACTTTGGAGAGCAGCACAAAAATACACCTTACCAAGCTGCAATGGCTGATTCTGAAGATGTTCTTTCCAGGCTTGATTGTAATTGCACCTCAAAAGAGAGTGAGCAGGGCTACTATTACCTGAGATAGACCCATCAAGTACTGAGCTGAAGAGGTGCTCCAGGATGAGCAATGTTTTTGTGTGACAGAGTTAATTACGCAATCCCAGGGAGTTCTGTGGGTCTAATTGGGACACGGAAATAACCCCTTTGGGGGCTTCATTTTGCCTATTACTCCAGCAGAGAGAGGGTCTGCAGGAATGAAGTTTCCTGGTGAAAGCAAAGTGAAAAAATCCAGGGCTTCTTGTCAGTCCAGGTGATGGACTGCTATTATTACTATTTTATATTAAAGGAGAGAGGGAAGAAGACAGAAGGACTGTATGAAGGACAAAGTTAGCAATCATTCACTGGCGCCAGAAAAGGTACTTTGAACTCAAGTGTGTCTGAAATTCAAAATATTAGTGCTTTTCGCTTTGTGGTTTTCTTTTAATGTGAGTTATGTTTTCTCTGTTGTGCTATATGGATATAGAAACTATGTCCAGAACAGTATTTGTGTTACTGGAAAAAGGSAAACCATAGGTGAAGGCTAGCATCTCAGTCCCAGAATGTCAAGTTCCCAAATTTGAAATCACACGACAGATCGAGTATTGTCAGGTAGAAAAGCATTTTAATATTACTGGGAGACTCTGCAGCGCAGAGAGCCAAGATCTGCAAGTATATTTATGTTTTTAATACACATTTGAGAATGAGGTCTTGCTCCCACTTTCAAAAGCAGCTTTGGTACTTCGTGTTTGAAGTCTCTCTGGCAATCAATGGCATGCAGGTTTCTTGGAGTTACAATTTTCTGACTTTCCTAAATTGAGCTAGAATAGGGCCTTCAACAACAACAACAAAAAACAGACTCAAAAACACCAAAGAGGCCATGGTTTTACTGGAACTTCCTTATTTTAATGAAACGTAACCTGGTGATATTCTCTAGAACTTAATCTGAATGCTAAAATTAATYCCTAACCATAGAGACCATAGGCTGTACTAAAAACTTTCATAATTCATAATAATTCATAATTCATTATAAAAAACATTTTGGAATTATAGGGTTTTTTTAGACTCTTATTTAAAGAATATTGCTTTATCCTTCAATAATGTTGATAAAAATCAGGATTTCGGCCTTTCGGGAAATCTTTGTATTTTGACACTTGTTTACATATTGGGACAAGATGAAATACCAAAACTTTTCAATGGTTCCGATATATTAAAAAAAAAAAAAAAAAAAAGATGGAAAACAAGTGGTAAATACCAGGATAGCCCTCACTGAAAGCTACTATCAGCTACTATATATCAGATTTTGATGGCAGAACCAGTTTAGGCAATTGATCTCAGTGAGGAGAGGATGAGTAAGTCCAAGACAGCAAGCAGTGCTAAGCAAGCACTGTGGGACTAGAAAGGAAAGCCGTCCAGTGCCTTAGTCTTTGCCAGGCCAAGGCACAAACCCCACACCTTTGCATGCCACAGCAGGTCTATGGAATTAGACAACACAAATTACATTTCTGCTATGCGTGGCAGAACAGGAGAGAGGGTCAATGGCAAAATGTACCTTTGATTGCAATGCTGGCTTTACAATATGAAAACAAAATCGGGTTTTTGTTTCTCCCTGAGCTACTCTTACTAAAATGTATTTAAAAATATTTTTCCTTGCTGAAAATATTTTAACCTATATGATTTATCACGCATTTGCAGTTTATTTTATAACACATGTTCTAGGTGCCAGCATATCAAATGAATACAAGACTACTGTGTACTAGAAGAGAGGCCAGGAATTCAAAAAAGCTCGAATTTCTGTTTTAAATGCCATAAKCTCAGCACATGAATTGTTATGGCAAAAAAATAAAAGTGAAGATAAAATTAGAAATAAAAATAAAAAAAACAACTCTGGTAATGGTATTAATAAGGGCCTCCACCAGGCTCTTGGGGTTAATTTTGGGTTAACATGCTTGCGTGGTGCTTGCAGGACTACATGTGATGAGCACCAAGCTGTCTAATAAGGGAACGATAAGTTGGTCCTTGCTGCATTAAGGGCSATGGGGACAGTCGCTTGCGGTTGCAAAGATGCCGCCAGGGGCGGCAGGCGCTTCTTGCCGGGCTGGTGCCCGCGAACCCGCCTCGGCTGACACCGAGCGGCTTGGGCACTGTCTGCGGGCTGCGCGAGGCACCAGCCCTGCAGCCGGGAGAGCCGCCGCCCTGCAGGGAGCACGAGGCCACGCCCCGCCACAGGTGCTGGCAGTTACGGCCGTTAACRGCCGTTAGCGCCAGGGCGGGGCCTCGGCCACGCGGCGGCCGTTAAAGAGCGGGGCGCGGCAGCAGGTGTGACTCGTGCTGGGCAGTGTGGTGGTGCCAGGTAGGGTGGCGGGGGCCYGGCTCGCCTTGCTCTTTGGTAGCCGAGTGGCTCCTGTGACGTGTTGTGGCCTTGCACTTGGGTGCGAGGGCTGGAGCGTCCCTGGGGAATGTGGGCCATTCTGTTGTGCGGCCCCCTGGGGCGAGTGGGGAGCCTGGGGGTGCCTCGTGCCTGACAGGTTAAAGTGACATGKTCAGGGCTTCCAACAAGCTGTGTTAGTAAGAGGGTTTCAGATTGCTTCAGTGGCTGCACCCCTGCTCTTGTCTCGATCACCATCAGGACTGTGTTGTGTACTGTGAGGAAATGTAAAAAAACAACACAAACCCAACACGATCTCAAAAAGTTTTTATTAAGAACTCTATGATACTCTGGGAGTTGCACAGGTGTGTGTTTTACCTCGTCTTCTCGGCTGATGGAATTTTAGGTAATGCATGTGTGTTAAGGGAAAAAGCAATGCAGCTGTGACTGCAAAATCTGCTGTGTGTTGCTGCACCGGGGAGAAGSATGTCCTGTGCTCAAAGGGGTGTGGAGGTGTACATCTCAGTGCCTTGCTGCTGCTGCAAGGTAGACCTGGGTCTTGCGCTTGGAGGAGCGTGACCCCTCCAGCTTGGATGCCCTGCCTGCTCCCAAGGTGCCTGCTTAACTCCATGGACAGGCAAGGGGCAATAATTTCTTGCAACTTTAGGGTGCTAAATTGACTCAGTAAAGGGTCAAGTGGGCAAAAGAGAGGCAGGATGGCAGTAAAGGCAGAGGTGGGAAGGAGAAGGACCTCTCTTTTGGAGAGCAGTTGAAAGGGCTCAGCTGTGTCATCTGAGAGAGGATGCAACCTGGCTGTGTTCCTCATGGTGCATGGGTAGAGGGGGGGAAATGCAATTGCACTGGTTAGACTAAGAACCTAGCATTTTGTGAAAGCAAGGATATATTCTAAATGCTCTCCATGAAAATGTAAGTAAGAATATATGAAGTTTTCTGTATTTTTAAATACCTAGGGAGAAGGAAGCATCTTTAGTCAACATAGAACAAAGCATGTGAGATCTGGGTGGAATTCCAAGGTACTATTGTACCTTGACAATAGTGTGGTAAACTTAATTATGGTACAAATAGTGTTCTAATGTAGTAGAGAGATTGTTCACCGTTTTCTATAGCTAAGCAGACTTTAACATGGTATTTGATATTTTTGTAGCCTTATGGATTGAAGAGTAGTTAGACTTCCTAGCCTTTGCCAGGTTATCATTCTTCAGGGCAGCAGCTAGAGATGTTAGCCCCTGATTTCTTAATTGTACTGAACCCTCACCCTTAAAATGTCTGTGCTTTGGAAAGATGGAGGGACTTTTCTGAGGCGGTAACTGGGCTAAACATTCAGGTAGTCTTTCTGTATCTTAGTGCAAGCAAACATTCTGTGCTGTAACTTCCAAGGTAGGAGGGAAAATGTAACCTTTGTGCTGTCCTTAAGCCAAAGAGCAAGAAGGATTTTTGATTTTTTGTGTGTGTGTGTTCCTTTTTTGCTATTAAACTGCTATTGGAAATCAAAACATACTGTTGATATTTTGGGAAAGGGTTCATTAAAAAGGATTTCTGTGACCATAAATCAAGTTTTGCACAAGAATTTGACTGTATATAGGTTTGTTGAATCCACGTGATAAAGTTACAAGATGCAATATTGCTGCAGAAGGGTATGTGGTTAGTGTACAGGGGAGTGTGGACAACTACACAAGAAAATCAATTATGGGCAGTGTAGACTCCTTTTATTCTCACTCATAAGGCCAGTACACATGTTCAGTGAGCATTACACAAGGCTGTATTTATTAAGACACACAATTCTTTCATTTGGCTGCTCCCTGTAGCAAAACCACAGTGCCACCACAGAAGACAGGCCCCATCATACTCACCTCAGCTGCCCTTTCAGCCACCACAAGTCCTGCTTCCCCTGAACAAAAAGTCAAAAATGTTTTTGTTTGCATAGCCTAAAAACAGATATGCCTTAGGAAAATAGCTAGAGGAAAAGCTACTTGAGAAATACTGAAGAAGTAGCTGAAAGATGTTATGTACCCTTCAGCTATGTACTCCTTGTACATGAAACAGTTGGAGAGACTTGTGTGAGACTGTTTACAGGACTATTACTATTAGCAATATAATCCTCCTGTGTATATTGTCCTTTGGGGGATTTTACTTTACACAGGTTGTGGCTGCTGTAGGTAGTGAGATGTTGGTGTTACAGCTGTGGTCCATGCTCCAGCTGTTCAATTAGTAGTGTGTGGTGCCACCTCAGCATGCTGAGAGGATTGAGGCAAATGTCAGGGATTGCATATTACTAAAGGGATGTTTTGAAAAAACATATAGGGTGGCAGGCCTTTAAGAGCAGAATTGCTTCTAGTCATGCCTTTCCTTCCACTTCGTCGTCTTTTGGCTTGGCCATCTTTTTTACCTGACTTTTGTCCCCTGCTTCCTTCTCTTTTTGTGGTTCTCCCTTCTCCTTATTTTGTTTGCATTTGTTTCTCTTCACTGTTTTCCATTTTTTTTGTATAATTATGTCAGAAGACACCTATGTTGAACAACAGCTAAATCTGCACTGTTCCTAGAGAAATGCTGCAGGGGGTGCCTCTACATGCTGCTGACTGCTGGAGTGGCTGAGATGGGCCCTAATGTCAGTGTGCTCATGATGCCASGTAGTAGGCTAAACTACCCATTGCCTGTTTGACTTGGGACTCTGGGGTCCTGTACCTTTCAGAGATCCTGTCTATGGCCCAGACTATGAARGGACAGTGAATCTGGTCTTGGGAGGAGATTTATAGACCTGGAGATTTGTAGGTCTGTGGCCAGTACTGCAGACTAGATTCTGCAGCCTTATATGCATATGTAATATTATCTTTTATGATAGTTCAGTTAATCAGAATGGTGATGTGGAAGAGTCTTAGATTTGATTGCAAGTCTGAAGTCAGTTTTCATCAAGCATGGCCCTCTTGTTGCATACATTTTTACATTTTAAAACATTTAGCCTATGTAGTAAATCTCAGTTTCAAGTTGTGCTGCACTCCCCTTTCTGTCTTTCATTCTAATAATAAATAAATGTTTTTGCCTGACATTGAGACATGCATGTTTATTTTTTCCCATTGCAAAAGAAATTCTCATGGAAAACATATTAGCAGCCTTGGAACAAAAGGCACAGGGTGGGGGAATTTCCCAGTGCATTCCATTGCCTGATTGTTCTATTCAGCTTTGAGAGCAAGTTTTGTATATAGTCTTCTTACTGCTGAGTGGAAAATACACCAAGAGCTTGCATGAGCAAAGAGCRTCTTGAGAAGAATAAAGTGGTGCAGTTAGGTTTCCCATTTGTGTTGTCTTTTAAGTAGACTTGCTCAGTGTATCTCAAAAGCAATGAAGATTGGAATGTATGACCTTCTACCAGTTGTTGCTGCCTGGCACAGGGAGACATAGCAGAAGTAAGTGTAGCTGGGACAAGTAATTCCTGCATTTATTGGGTTTTGATTTAGATGGTATAGATCTAAAGGACATATCTTTTAGGGACCGAAATAACTGCTGAAAAGAACTTCTGTGTTCCTTTAGAAGCAGATGGAGAACCTCATCCTAGCATGAGGAAGAAGTGCTACAGTTGTTGGGTGCTGCAGTAGGAGTTGCCAGGCCTGTGTTAGTACACTTGTCCTGATGCAACTTGGAAAATCACCCAGAGGTGGTTGGGTGGCTGAAAGGTTACATCTCCTGTCTGTGACTAGTATTTCACCGTCCTGTCTTCAATCCTTTATGGAGAAGGATGGTATATGCTGATGGCAGGGAAGCCAGAGGTGCAGCTACTGAGTATATCAAACCTCCCAAAGGAAGCACTTTATGGATTTTGTTAGCTTTTGTGCACCTGTTCTATAGGACCAGAGAGCTACTGAGAGCAGAGTATGCCAGCCAGTTGATTTGTCACATTATAAGGTTCAGTGATGTAACTAGTCATCCACAGTATTTTCTCTGAAAGTTTCTTGGTGGGAGAAGTGCAATTATTCCCTCTAGGAAACTCATGAAGATGCTTCTGTAGATAGCTGGGAGCTCTCCTTGTGTTGTGACCTCTGGTAATGTTACCTCTCAGAAGGGGAAACACAAGATGTAGTCATCTTAGTCATCTTTTTTCTGGCAAGGCTGCTGCATGAATTTTCTTGTACATTATCTTCTCCACAGGGTTTCGTATATGCTCATTGCTGTACTGTTCCAATGTATGCAGCAGTTTCTCTTCTCACTCTAACGGTGTGATTATTATCACCTCCCCATAGGCTAGGAGCCTTTCAGTGCAAATGCAGTTCTACAGCCCCATGAGTCAACTTCTGGCGATTCTTCCTTAGACAGCATTGAGTGTAAGTTATAAATACAAGGGCGTGTGACCAACTGGACTCCTTTTCATTAAGATCATACAATATATGGTTATCCCTATACAGCCTGTTAATGCACCTGATTCTGAGGGGTTGGGGAAGAGCAAAAGATAAAGAGCTTTAATAATGGTGCTGGGGCAAGTGTGTGCCTGTAAGGAGGCATTTGCAGGAATGGAACCATAGTAAGCAATTATGTCTGTTGCAGAATAAACACATTCTGAATGTTGATGAATGAAACAGCTGAATTGTATAATTTGGAAACATGGCTACTGAACTCATTCAATAATTAATTTTCTGATCTGCTTGTGCCAACTTTCAAAATACAGAGAGCTTTCTGGCCACATTGAAGGTATGGCTGGAGCATAACACTGAGTGCCACAAATTCCTTGTCCAGGCAGTTCACTCAAAGGAAATCTGGCCTAGCAGTTCAGCAGTGCTTTATATGCAATAAGTGTGCTACTGTGTAGAGACAAGTATGGAGGTCATGTTGCTGTATGTGGTTTCTCAGAATTAGAGGAGACTTTGCTGAGTCCTCCATCCTGTGACTATTTGGTGTGTAACACCATTTAAAGCTAAAACTCAGACCTTGTAGCTGGCCAGGTGGTAAATTATCACCTTCCCACATTCTGCTAACAT